CGGGCGTCGCACATGTCGTACCTACGACCGGTCCACGAACGAAACGAACCGACCGACCCGACCCCCCCCCCCCCCCCCCCCCTCCCCCCCCCCTTTCGTCTGTCGGCCTCGTGCCGTGAGCCGCCGCACAGGTGGGTGGACCGCAAGCGCAGCCGCTTCCACGTCCTCGCTCCGGTCTTCGCTGCCGGACTTGCATGGCAGCCCGCTCCTCCCTACTTGACGGGCTGGGTCGTCCGGACGTATATAAGATGACTCGCCCTTGTCCTCGTCGATGGGAGGTTTGAACATCCCCCTCTTTCGCCGCCACCGACCCTGTCTCCTAGACCGCCCCGCCCCTATACACCAGACTAGACGATGAAGATCAACAGCATCACCTCGGCCCTCGTGGGCCTCGCCATGGCCTCGTACGCCGCCGCCATGCCGGCCGTGGGCGACAAGATCGACGCGAGCTCGCTCCCCTCGACCCTCTCCGACGCCGTGCGCGCCGACCTGGCCCAGCGCGACCCCTCGACCTACACCCTCTACGAGCGCACCGACTCGGACTCGAGCGACCTCGAGAAGCGCGCCCAGGTCAACGGCCTCATTACGCGCTGCTCGACGTCGCGCTGCATGTCCATCACCTTTGACGACGGGCCCTACACCAGCCACAAGAACCTCGTCGACCAGTTCGACGCCGCCGGCTCCAAGGCCACCTTCTTTGTCAACGGCAACAACTTCCGCTGCATCTACGACAAGGACTCGGTCTCGGCGCTGCGATACAGCTACTCGCGCGGACACCAGATCTGCTCCCACACCTGGGACCACCCTGATATCTCGACTCTCAACAACCAGCAGCTCGACGAGCAGGTCCAGCTTGTCGAAGATGCGCTGTGGAAGATCATCGGCGCCGTGCCATCATGCATCCGCGCTCCGTACGGAAACATCAGGGACGACCAGGTCGCCTACCTCAACAACCGATGGGGCCTCCAGGTGATCGGCTGGAACGCCGACACGGGCGATGCCAACGGCGATGGCGTCGACGCCGCTCTCAACGTCTACCGCGGTCTCAAGGCGCCCAAGCACGCCATCGTCCTCAACCACGAGACCGTCAGCACGACGCCGTCCGTCGTCATCCCCCAGGCGCTCAAGATCATCAAGCAGAACGGCTACTCGGGCAGCCAGACGGTCGCCGCCACGACCCGCTTCAACCCGTACAAGGTCGTTGGATCCTACGGCAAGCGCGATGCTTCTTGGACCTGCGACGGCAAGCCCGGCCCCGGCCAGGCCTAAAGGCGCACCGTGCGATCCACTCCTCGGCTCGCCCTACACCGACCGCATGGACTTTCCCCCCTCTCTGCTCGATTTCCGGATGAAGGCGACGACGACGACTCGGATCTCGCTTCCTTGACGCCCAGGTCATCCTGGCAGCTGTCGGAAGCCGCTCTCTATCTCTCGCCTCGACTCGGTCACACTCTCTATAGACTCGATCCTGCCCTGCACACGCAACGGACATTCTTGATGGCACGCAAACCACCATACACGTTCTCTCCACCTTGCACTTTCGACTTCTTGTTGTTTATCTTTTCTCGCTGTACATCACCTGTTCTAGACCTTCACAGCTCCTGCAATGCTCGGAAAGGACCACTTCCATATCATTGCGACTATCCTAGAGCGCCTCGTATAAATAAGAAGAGGGGAGGGGGCGGCGGAAGATCACTGCAGCTTGCGCACGCGCAGAGGGACGCCCGCAATGACGGTGCCGTCCTTTGTCTGGGCTCGAGGTCGGACGACGAGGGCGAGGTGCGGGCGGATGTCGATGCCCTCTGCCAGGGTAAACTCGAACTTGGACAGGGCGAGGATGAGCACCGTCTTCATCTCGGTCAGCGAGAACCTCGAGCCGATGCTGGTGGCGTGCAGGTGCGAGGGAGAGAGGGGGGGAGGTAGGGTCAACGTGTTGTTCCCGTGAACCGATCGCGCATGCCGCACACTCACCAGCTCTTTGGACCGCCGCTGAAGCTGAACATGCCGTAGGGCTGGGGCATCCTGGCCTTGTGGAAGAGCTCGGGGAGCTTGAGCCATCGATCCGGGTTGAACTCCTCGGCGTCCTCGCCGTACAGGTCCTCGCGGTAGTTTGCCGACTTGAACATGCAGCTGACGACCGAGCCCTTCTTGACGGGGACCGAGGTGATGGTCTCCGAGCCGTCGCGGCTCTTGATGGGCAGCAGGAGGGGCAGCACGCTGTCCTTGACGACGAGGCGCTGCGAGTAGATGACGGGCGGGCAGAGGCGCAGCGTCTCCTGGATGACGCGGTCGAGGTACTCGAACTCGTCCGACCACAGGTCGTCGTACTTGATGTCCTGGGCCGCGACGTCGCGCAGCGGGATGCCGCGGCGCTCGCGGAAGCCCTTGTCGAGGGCGTCGCGCAGCTTCTGCTGGATGTGCGGATAGGTCGAGAGGTAGTAGAGCACAAACCCGCTCGTCACACTCGACGTCTCGTAGCCGGCAAACGTGAACGTGTGGATCTGGCCCGCCACGTCCTCGTCCGACATGCGGTCCGCCTCGGCCTCGGCCAGGTTGGCCTTGACGAGGAGCGAGAGGAGGTCCTTGCGGCCAGAGAGGACGTCGTCGGCCGAGCCCGACACGTCCATCTCGCGCAGGATCTCGCGCTTCTTTTCCTGCACGATGGCCTGCGAGTACTTGGAGATGACCTGCTTGCTCTTGTGCAGCGCGCGATTGACCCTCTCGATCGGCCAAGTCTGCAGTCGGCAGTCGGAGGGGAGACAGGAAAGACAAGGACGCATCAGCGCCTGTGAAAGCTACAGGCGCGGCTGGACGCATATGCTGCCGGCACTCACCACGGCGGGGACGTAGAGCATCGCGGCCAAGGCGGTCTGGATCATCCTGCCCAGGCTAAAGTTGATGGCGAGCTGGTTGGCGTCGTTGAAGGCGGCGCTCAGCTCGCTGCCGTCGCGGCCCTTGTCGAGGGCGTCAAAGTTGTGCCCGAACCCAGTCTGGCCGATGATGTCGAGCATGACGCAGTCGAGCCAGTTGCCCATGTCGACGACGCCCCAGCCATCGCGGTTGTCGCCGCCGCCGGGCTGCTGCTGCAGCTGCCCGTCGAGATCCCGCTCGATGGCGCCGCACATCTTGGCGCCGAGCTCGGCGAAGGTGGTTGTCATCTCGACGAGGTGCTCGACCGAGAAGCTCGGCCCGATCATCTTGCGCTGCTTGCGGTGGACGTGGCCATAGTGCTTGACGATGCCCTCTCCCGCGAGCAGCTCAATGATCTTGGTGCGCAGCTCCGGAGACTGAAACGTCTCGGTGTCGGCGAGGATGTGCGCGAGGGCGTTGGGGTCCGAGACGGACAGCGACTCGTTGCCGAACGGTTCCGGAAACGTGTAGATGTGCGAGCCCAGCTCCTTTGCCCAGTACAGCAGACGCATCCCGGGGCCGCTGACCGTCTTTCGCTCGCCCGTCGTGGGCGAGGTGTAGGTGAAGTCGGCCGACTCGATGACCCGGTTGCCAAAGAGCATCGAGGCCCGTTTCGGGCCGGGCAGCTTGCGGAATTCCGAGGGGAAGACGACGGGGGAGATGCTGAGCTTGTACACGACCCAGGCGACGAGGGCGAGCGAGGCGGCGAGGACGGGGTGCGAGGCACATGCCGCCATCGCGCGCTCCAACGTCGGCGAGGTGGTCGAGGCGCCCATGGTGATGTTCAGAGGCCGGAGGGAACTGGACGAAGCGAAACGAAGGCCTGATCAGCGGAACAGCGATAGCATGATGGTGAACAAGACCGAAGTGGCTGATTGCAAAGAGGTTGCCAAAGAAGCGGGCATGGCAAGTCAAGGGGCCAGGGAACGCATCAGGGGTCGAAGATCAGGTGGAGCGGACAACCAACTCGTGGCCCCTGCTTCCATCATGAATGGGGCTGCGCTGGCTTCCGTCCGAGGTCTGACAAAGCACCGACAGGCCCCTGACCCGGCCTGCCGTTGCCCCTCGCCGTCGTTGCCGCTGACACCCTTTTGGGACAACTTCGGCCCATCGAGCCATCGAGGATAAGCCAGGGCCAAAGGGCAAGGCCCGCTTCTTCGGTTGCGCGTCTTCCGCCTGCTCCACTTCGGGTCGATGGACGTTCGTTGTTGCAGGGGCCGACAATCATCCGACTTTGATCCTTTCGGCAGCAAGTGTCGAGAGAGAGAAGGAAGGCCTCGCTCGGCTTTCTCGGCGCGCAGCTTCTCTTTTTCCTCGAGCGCGATGACCTCGCCGCCTAGATCGAGGAGCTCCACGACCTTCGAGCATGTCGACCTCGACAGCCACCGCCACCGCCACCGTGGTCGCCACTGCGCCCGGCGCGGTGCCATCTGATCGACCCAACGAGGCCATCGAGCTGCAGCCTCTTCCCTCGATCCAGAGCTCCCACCGGCCGCACCGCGATTCTGTCAACTACACCGGACCAGCCACCGGCAGCGAAGTCGACGCCGACGCCGACGCCGACGACGACGACGGTGGCGACCGCTCGGGCGCTGCGCCGGCCTCGGGTGGCCGCGACATTGACCTGCGCGGCATGACGCTGCTCGCCGTGCAGCACGCCTCGTCGTCGTGGGGCTACCGCTCCGCCGAGTTTGCCTACCCGCTCTACATGGTCCGGCTCTTCACCAACACGCTGCTGCCGGCGTCGGTGTACGGCTTCATCACGACGGGCGCGGCCATCATCTTTTCCAACGCCGTGGGCCGCTCCATCGACCGGTACTCGCACACCAAGCTGCGCACCCTGCGCGCCTACATCCTCGGCCAGAAGGTGCTGGTCGGCGCATCCTATGGCCTCTTTCTGCTCCTCTTCCTCGACACGGGCCTCAGCACCGCGGCCGAAAACGGCGGCAAGGGACCGGACGGCCGAGGACCGGGCAACGCCGCCCCGTGGACCGTGTTCGCGGCCATCACGCTGCTGGGCTGCGGCGTGATACTGTCCAACGTGGGCGTCAGCGTAGCCGTGGAGCGCGAGTGGGTGCAGATCATCTCGCGCGGCTCTGCGGCGCGCCTGACGCGGCTCAACGCCATCATGCGCCGCATCGACCTCCTGACCAAGCTGCTCGCACCGCTCTTTGTCTCGCTCCTCACGACGACCATCTCGTACCGCTACTCGGTCGTCGTCCTCGTCGCCATCTGCGGCCTCTCGGCGGCGTTTGAGCTCGTCTTTGTCGGCATCGTCTACAAGCGCTTCCCCGCGCTCGCCGATGACGAGGCCAAGGTGGTCAAGCGGCGCATCGAGCTCGGCAAGGCGGCGGCCTCGGGCGAGGAAGCTGCGGGACAGGCGCCGTCAGCATCGGCATCGGCGGCGGCCGCAGCCTCGCCCGCCACGCTTCTACGCAGGCTCCACCCGGCCTCGCTGGTCGTGGCGGTGCGCGACAGCTTCACGGAGCAGTACCGCGACTGGGCGACGTTTGTGCAGATGCCCGTGTTTATCACGTCGGTGTGCATCAGCCTGCTCTACATGAGCGTGCTGTCGTTTGACCCGACGTTTATCGCCTACCTCAAGTCGGAGACCGACTACTCGGACGCCTTTGTCGCCGGAATGCGGGCGGTGGGCGTGGCGTCGGGCCTGCTGGGCACGGTGGTGATGCCGTGGATGGAGAAGCGGATCGGACTGGTGCGGACGGGATCCTACTCGCTCTGGCAAGAGACGCTGTCGCTGGTGCCGGGCGTCGTGGCGCTCTTCATCACTGGCGCCAAGAGGCCGTTCAGCAGCGGCAGCGCTGGCAGCAGCAGTGGTACGGCCGTCGACGACGGGTGGCGCCGCTACCGACCGCAGTGGAACACGGCGATCCTGTTTAGCAGCCTCTCGATTTCGCGCATCGGGCTGTGGTCTTTTGATCTGGCGCAGCTGGCGCTGCTCCAGACGGCGCTCTCGTCGGACCAGGTGCCGCCCTCGGTGGCCGAACGCAAGAATGCGCTGATGGCGCTGCAGTTTTCGCTGCAGAACGTCTTTGACCTGGGCCACTACGGCCTGACGCTGGGATGGAACCGGCCGGACCAGTTCAAGTACGCGGCGGCCACGAGCCTGGGCGCGGTGGGCGCGGCGACGCTGCTCTACACGGTCGGGTACGCCCGTCGGATCCGCGGGCATCTGGTCCACTTTGACCGGCACGGCCTCGAGAGGTTGCTGCGCAAAAAGGGCCAGTAGTTGTACGGTGGCGGACGAACGCATGCCCTTGCTTGCTAATCAGATGCGGATGCTGCTAATGCTGCCGCCTTGTGTGCGAAGAGATCTTGTGATGGTGTCTGTGTTTCTCTTGCGTGTGGCGGCAGAGCCTGGAGGAGGTCAGGGCCAGGCGAGCACGCGAGGAAGCAAGCGGGGGCCAGGAGGCGGGCCGTTGAAAATTGCGGCAGAGGGGCGATGTTGGGCCTGGCTGCTGTCGATCCGTCGCTTGGTAAATCTCGCTCGCTTTGGCGGCCGCCGCTTTTTGCCAGCAGGCTAGGCTAGGTTGGCCCTCCCCCGCGCTCGTTACCCCGCAAAATCCAAAAAAGAAAAGAAAAAAGGGCGGCCAGGGTCCAAAGCGGTGAAGCCAGCAGGCAGCAGGCAGGCAGGCGGGTAGGCAGGCAGGGCAGCCCAACGAGCGGCGTACATCTGGCTCGCGCGTGCAAACGGGCGCCCGACTTTCGGAAGCCTAGCTCGCTGCCGCCGCCTGTCGTTGTCGCCGCTGCCGCGCATGAGGATAGAGTCACGCTCGCTCAAGGCAGGCCCGTACCTCCGCGCACTGCTACCGGCATCCGCCTCAGCCCTCTTGGCCGGGCCCGGCCAGGATATAAACCCTCGACCGACGACGCCGGCTCCCTCCTGCCATCCGGATTCCAACCTTTGCCACCCTACCTCTCGCCTTTATCCGCCACCCGCCACCCGCCACCCGCCCTCGCCACTCTTGTCTGCTTCTGCTGTGGCTCCTGCTCCCACCCCGCTTTTCATCCTTGCTTTTCTTGTCTGCACTTGCTCCTGCTCCTGCTCCTGCTCTCGCCCCTGATCCCTGACCCCACACCCCCACCGCCGCCGCCCAACATGGCCGGACCTTCGTACATGGACCCCAAGTCGACGACCTACCAGCCGCTGAGCGAGCCTTCGGGCAAGTGGCCGGCGGCCAAGGTAACGCTCCCCATCCCCATGGGCGAGACGGCCGCCCGCACCGCGCGCGACATTGAAGAGGCGCGCACCAAGACGGCCTTTGACCCGTCCAAGATCGAGGAAGTCATCCGCGACGCCCGCATCGACAACGAGTCGCGCAAGCGCGTCATGGGCACCCTCTCGACCGACGACGTCTTTGGCACCTGGAAGAAGCGCATGGTCCACATGAACCGCGAGCAGCAGATGCAGATGTCGCACTTTGCCTGCCGCCGCCTCCTCGAGCTCGCCGAAAAGCACGACTGGACCACCCACGAGGTCATCGAGGCCGCCATCACCCTCGACCTCCAGTCGCCCGTCACCATCCACTGGGTCGCCTTTGTCCCCGTCATCTTTGGCCAGGGCTCCAACGAGCAGATTGAGCGCTGGGGCAACCGCGCCATGAACCACGAGATCCTCGGCTGCTACATGCAGACCGAGCTCGGCCACGGCACAAACGTCCAGGGGCTCGAGACGACGGCCACCTACGACGACGCCAGCGACAGCTTCATCCTCCACAGCCCCACCCTCACCAGCACAAAGTGGTGGGCCGGCGGCCTGGGCAGGACCGCCACCCACGGCGTCGTCCAGGCCCAGCTCATCATCCACGGCAAGCGCTACGGCCCGCACCTCTTCTTCACCCCGCTCCGCTCCCTCGAGGACGGCAGCGTGCTCCCCGGCATCGTCGCCGGCGACATCGGCCCAAAGACCTACGCCGCCTTTGGCGGCCTCGACAACGGCTGGGCCCGCTTCGACCACTTCAAGATCCCGCGCGACAACATGCTCAACCGCCACGCCCAGGTCAAAAAGGGCGGCGAGTACGTCAAGCCGCCCAACGACAAGCTCAGCTACGGCGGCATGATCTTTATCCGCAGCCAGATGATTGACCGCACCGGCTGGATGCTCTCGCGCGGCATCACCATCGCGCTCCGCTACTGCCTCGTCCGCCGCCAATTCCGCGATCCGTCGAGCACCGACATCACCGACGTCGAGCGCAGCGTCCTCAGCTACCCCTCGACCAGCCGCCGCCTCGTGCCGCTGCTGGCCAAGTCGTACGCCTACATCCTCGCCGGCCGCCGCATGCGCACCCTCTACGAGGACATGGCCGCCAAGCTCGAGAGCGGCGACACCGAGCTCCTCTACGACGTCCACGTCGCCTCGTCCAGCCTCAAGGCCTACTGCACCAAGCAGGCCCTCGACGGCATCGAAGAGTGCCGGCAGGCCCTCGGCGGCCACGGCTTCTCGGGCTACGCCGGCTTCACCACCCTCTTCCCCGAGCAGGCGCCCGCCGTCACCTACGAGGGCGACAACATTGTCCTCGCCTCGCAGGTGGGCCGCGCCATGCTCAAGATCTCGGGCGAGCTCGACAAGGACGCAAAGACGCCCGTCGCAAACACCTCGGCCTTCCTCCGCGCCATTGCAACGCCCAACGCCGTGCCCTTCCAGTCGCCCCAGTCGCCCCAGGACTGGTACCGCCCCGAGGTCTACTCGGCCGCCCTGGCGCTGCGCGCCGCGCAGCTCGTCACCGACCTCCGTGCCGAGATTGCAGAGGGGCGCAAGTTTGGCGACCTCAGCTTCGAGTGCATCGAGGTGGCAAAGAGCCACGCCGAATTTGTCGTCGACCTCTGGTTCTCCGAGGCCATCAAGGACGACGCCGAGGCCCTCGGCAACGCCGAGTGCGGCTGGCTGCGCAAGCTCGTCACCCTCCACGCCCTCACCGCCCTGTCGCGCAATATGACCCCGCTCGTCCTCCCCGCCTCGGGCCAGGGCCGCAACCTGGCCGGCTACCGCAACGGCCAGGCCGTCGTCGCGCCCGAGAGCGTCGTCCACCTCGAAAAGGCCATCCGCGACCTCGTCGCCGAGATCCTGCCCCAGTCGATTGGCCTCTCGGACGCCTTTGGCTGGCTCGACTGGGAGCTCGGCTCGTCGCTCGGCAGAAAGGACGGACGGGTATACGAGCAGCTCATGGCCGACGCAGAGTCCAACCCGCTCAACCACGACTCGCCCGGCCCCGGCATCGACAACGTCGGCCGCTACCCGTACGGCAGCGAAAAGACGGGCAAGCACGTCGTCGAGTGGTACAAGACCGAGATTGGTCCGTTGCTCCGCGCCGCCGCAAAGCGCTCCGAGGACGGCGGCATCCGCGGCGACGGAAGCAAGCTCTAGGCTGGCGAGCTCCAGTTTGTCTGATAGATGCGGTGGGCCCGCAGAGCGCCTGAGCCGGGTATACGATAGAGAGACAGATAAAGCCATGGACCCTCGCATCGAATCGTGTGTGCGCCGGAGGGACGAGCGCGTCGCAGCAGCGCCTCAGAGGAAAGGCATGTCGAGGCCCGACGAGGCCAGGTCCGTGAGGGCGTCGTCGAGCCACATCCTCGTCAGCAGGTCGTCCTGCTCGGTGCCGGGCGTGGAAGCGTAGGCGTCGGGCGTCGGACCGCTGTGGAGTGGCAGGGAGGGCGCCGCAGCGGTCACGGTTGGAGCGCCGCCGATGTTGGATGCGCCGCCCCCGCCCGCACTCGACGGCATCATCGAGCCGCCGGAGGTTCCGAATGCGCTCTGCAGGCTGCCCGATGTGGCGCCCCCGCCGTTCGCGGGCGCGAGGTTGTGGAGCGACGACGATGAGTGCGGCGCAAACGGCGAGGTCGCCGATGCGTGCAGCGGGAAGGCCGCTGCGGCCGTCGTCGACCCGACACCTGCCGAGCTGGAAGCGGGCCAACCTGCCTGGACGGCGGCAGCGGTGCTGCTACCGGCGCTGGCCGTAGACGCCATCGTCTGCTCGTCGAGCCAACGCAGAAACGAGTCCGGGTCCATCTCGCCGCCCAGAACGTCGCCGGTGCTCCACCATGTCCCGCCGCCTCCAAAGCCCCCGCCTGCGCCGGACTGACTCTGTCCTGCCGGAGAACTAGCAGCGCCTGCGACGGCCGAGTGTCTGGGGCCCGACCCGGCGTTGGTCGAGCTGTGCCCCGGATGCGAGGCGGGAGGCGTCGATTCCGACGCGGGAGAGGCGTGTGCACCCAGCGTCCGAGCTCGCGAGCTTGCCACTGTCGCCGAGGTCTGGGCCCGCTCGTTTTGGTAGACGTCGGTGGCACAGTCCCTGCCTGGGCCGCACATGTGCATGGCCGCCTCGGCGCCACCCTTGACCCCGATGTGGTGGTTCCAGTGCTCCCCGTTGAACACCTTGTAATTGAAGCACTGACCCTCCTCGAGGCCCATCTCGATGCGCGTGCCCTTCGGAGGAGGCGGGCCGTCTTGATGTCGAGAGCGAGCGGCGGCGGCGCTGGTCTTGCGACGCGCCTTGGCGTCCGTCAGGATGAGCTGCTTGGCTAGCCTCCGAAGATACATAGAGTATCGGTTGGCCAGGTGGACACCGTCTGGCGCGGCCTTGGTCAATGCCGTGATGACCTGCTGCAGGCTCTGGGCGCACCGGTTAAGCGGCAGGATCGTGTCCGAGACCGCCGTCGCCTTGACGCAGAAGACGGCCGCCATCACCAGCAGCAGGAACCAGCGTGCCGGCGCGCACATCATGCTGTCGAGCTCGACGGTCAGGATGCGGATCAGCGACTGTGCCGCCGCCAGTGCCTCGCGCACGAAAGGGTACGCCGGGTGGGTCGACAGGCCGATCTCCATGAGGCCGAGTGAACCGCCGCCGCTCGCCGTTCCATCGCGCCGCGTCGCCCCGGAGTGGTATTGGACGCGGTTGTTGGGTCTAAAGGTGCCGAGACCGCGCTTGAGCGAGTCGAGCGAGACGCCGTTGGCGTACAGCCTCGCATAGTGGTACTCGACCCGTAGGCGCAGCGAAGTCATGTCGCGGATGGGCTCGATGCGCGGCTGGGTCCAGTTAGCCCACTCGTCGAGGTCGTCGCGGATCGACTTGAGCGCCGGCACAAAGTCTTCGTCCTCGAGCAGCCGCTCAGTCACCGCCCTCGAGCGGTAGAGGTTCTCGCATGTGCGGAAGACGATCTGCAGCAGCTCGGCGTGTGCGCGGAATGCGATCCAAGCGCGAGGTGTGCCGGTGGCGAGCGATGTGTCGCTGAGACCGATGCTGCTGCTAGCATCGGATCGGATCAGGAAGGGGTGCGTCCGATCACGAACCAGGTTCATGAACGGTGCCATCAGACCCGGGCTCGAGATCCTCCGACCCAGCCGGACGGACAGGTGACAGTCGGCGTGCACGCTCGACATCCACACCCGCATCCTGCGCTCGGCGTTGAGGCGCGAGGCCGACTCGGCGCTCGAAATGCCGCTGTAGGTTGACACGTTCTGCAAGTCCAGCCGCTCGGCCAGCCGCAGCGCGGTGCCCGTCAGCATCCACGCGGTATCGTCGAACTTTTCCGACTCGCGCAGGTCCAGCCTCGCGGGTCGCTGCAGCGATTTCGACGACAGGCGGCGGAGCCAGTTGTTGGAGCTGTTCGGTGGGGCTGTGGCCGACGCAGCTGGCCCGGGCGTCGGCATGGCGGCGGGAGAGGCGCCGTCTGCAGCGAGCGCGGCCTCCCCCATCGCCATCTCTGGATCGGCGAAGTCGTCGTCGTCGCCATCGGGGTCGTCTTCGGATTCCGAGCTGGCCTCTTCAGAAGTCCGTCGGTCATGCAGGTCGAGGGTGGCCCACTCGCTGAGGATCAGGAGCGCCTCAATCGTACCAATCGTGTGGGAGCCCGGCAGGAAGAAGGACCGGCTGATCTTCTCTTGCGTCCACTTGGAGATCTTGCGATGAAACGTGTCCGGGTGGATGAGGTGGGCGTTGTGGTTGGCGACATCGTAGCGCGATGCGACCGAGAGCATGGCGCCAAGCAGGATCGGCTCGCGGCTGACGAGCTCCGAGAGGGCATCGGTCGACTTGTCGAGGAGGTGCGGCGAGCAGTGAGGCGCAAACGAATGCATCCGGCGCAGGAAGCTGTCCGATCGGTCAATATTGGATATCTGTGGTCAGCCTCATGACGATCAGCACGCTCTTGTCAAGGTTCTGGTGCAGCAAGGCGGGTATCCGCGCTCACAAGTTGAGAAAGTGCTTGGCCTCGGAACGCTTGATGAGCTTGAGCCTGATGGGCTCAAACTTGCTCCAGCCATACCGGTGCTTGAGCGGCGGCGGTGTATTGGGCCGACCCAGCGCTGGGCCGCCAGCATCTCTGGCTCGTTTTGACGGCGGTGGCTTCGACGAGGCCGATAGGGCTGGAGATGGGTGGCCATGGCGCGGCGAGGCTGCCTCTTTGTCGGGAGAGGCGGACGCCGCTACATCCTGGAGCATTGCAGATGCTCCGATCTGCTCGACGCTTTCGCCGATCGAGGTCGAGCGGCTCGCTGTCGAGTCGCGCGTTTCCGCCGCGACGCCTGCCAGTACTCGCAGGGCATCCCTGCTGTGCTGAAGACCGACCGAGGCGTACTGCTGCAGCGGATCCGGTTCGGTCGCATTCTCGCGGACATGCGCATCGTCGACTACGGCGGTGCCGACCTGCGGTGGTGCGGTAGCAGCTCCGCCTGCATCGGATCGCTCGCCCGACGAGTCTTCGCTCTCGCTCCGGGAGAAGTAAGCGGCGCTGGACGATGAGCGCCTGGGGAGCTGGCCGGGCTGCGCGCTGTGCCGCACCCTCTTGCGGGCGTCCTGGCTGCTCGATGATCGCTTTGCGCTGCTCCTCGTTGCACCGCCCTGGATGCCGTAGATCATACCGATGCTGGGGGCGTCGCTGGGATCCAGCTCCCTCACCGACACATCGTGGCGCGTCGAGTGAAGACGGGGGTTGGCGTCGGGTAGGGACGCCAGCGCGGCCCCCGCCAGGGCGTCGATGGCTGCGGTCGAGCTGTCGAGGTCATCGTCGAGCAGAGACTGGGTGGTGGGAGCCTTGGCCAGGTGGTGAGCACCGAATGCCTGCGCGCGCGTCGAGCGGGTCTTGCTGCCACGGCCGCGCGTGGACATGGTGAAGAGGCACTGCCTCATTTCGCGCTTGCACCGCGAGCACGGCGGCTCAGAGGGGGCGTCGAGGGATCCGAGGTCGCACTTGACCTTCTTTGTCCGGCATCCATCGCAGGCCTGCCAAATGTGACGACGAGGAGGCAGTGTCAGTAGTGAAGGCTCTCGTTCCGCCCCGAGGCATGCGGTCGCGCAGGGGCCGGCAGACGCAAGCTTTGCTCTAACGCACCTTGAACGAACGTTGGAACTCTTTCTTGCCCGAAGCGGTCGCAGCATCGTCGGGTGAGCCGAGCTGCCTCGACGGCGTCGAGACTCCGCGGGGCGTCGAGCTGCTGGCTTGCATCTCGACCGCCTCAGTTTCAATACCTCGACTCGGTCTGACAGGCCGCACGCTGAGTCGAAAGCTTGATTGCTGGACAGGGAGGAGAGGATAGCTCTCCGACGGTGTCACGAGCTGTGGCGATCCGGATCCGGACCCGGAGGAGCGAGGCGGCGCGAAAGGCGTAAGAGGAGGTGGGTTGGTGGTGGTGATGGTGGTATTGGCAGGGGCAAGGGCCGCCTGGCCGGCTGCTCGCGGCTAACGCACCTGCCCGCGTGGTCGGAGCGAGAGGAAATAAGAGGCCCGAGCTGGCGGGCGGGGCTGGTTGGGCCTGGCGAGGTTTCTGTGACAGGGCGCAGCGCCTCGCCCGCTCCACTTTTTCGGCCTGGCCAAACCTGCAGGCTGGCTGGCCCTCACCACCCACATAGCCGATGGCCTGCAGTCAAGGCTGGGGCAGGGCAGGCAGGCAGGCAAGCAAGGCAGCCAGCGCAAGGTGCGGAGGGTGGTCGACCGAACCCTGAGCCTCACCTTGCCCACGCAGCGCGGCAACCTCCGGCTACCCGGCCTGCCTCGCCCGCCCGCCACCTTGTTAGCCCCTTCAATCGAATGGCGAGATGGCAAGCATAGCGAGCCCTTCTCTCTCTCACCACCACAACACTTCACTCCGTTTTCATCGAGCCGCGACCACTCTGCAACCATGACTTCGACATCGCGGGATCGCAAGGTGCTTGACATGGTGTTCGACCCTGGTGCGTCTCTTTGACCGGATCAGTCCGACGGTCGCTCGGACAAGCCGGTGCGGCACGGGCCGCTGCCGAGACGATGCGCTGGTGCTCACGACTCTGTTCTTGCTCTTCCCTCCGTCGCGCTTGTGCAGAGGGCTCTCTCGGACCCGGCGAGCTCAGCTTCGGCCCGGATCAGGAACCGAGTGCGCAGGACAAGGAGGCGATTCAGCTCGAGATCCGCGCCATCCAGGCTGCCGAGGGCGGCGATACCGACCAGGCGCTCCAGCTTCTCGATCAGGCTGTCTCCACCAGTCCGAGCTGGGCATCCACCTACAACAACCGGTTCGTTGCGACTTGCGGCTGACCCGCTCTGCTGCTTTCTGGCCTCTGGCGCTGACGCGGATATGCCGTGCTTTCTTGTCGATCGCGTACAGAGCGCAGCTGGGCAGGATGACCAAAAAGCCCGCTCCGGAGATCATCCGCGACCTCAACAAGGCCATCAAGCTGGCCACGCCGTCGTCCGAGGTGCCCCTCACGCGGCGCAATGCAAAGACGCTCGCGCAAGCCTACACCCAGCGCTCGGCCGTTCTCTTCACCCTGCTCGACCCCTCGCTCCCCGCGGAACAGCTCGAGGCCCAAGTCGACCAGCTGCGCCAGCTCGGAGGGCTCTTCGAAGGGACCAAGCTCGCACAGCAAGCATCGTCGGAGCAGCAGCCGCCGGAGGGAGAGTTCGGGAGCTTCTCTGTCGAAACGGCCAAGCTCACCATCGAGGAGCTCGCCTCCCGCGACCTATCACTTGGGGCCCGGTACGGCAATTCGGTGGCCAAGCAGGTCGCCGTGCAGACCAACCCGTACGCCAAGCTGTGCGGCAAGATCGTCCGGGAAGCCCTCGTCTCCGAGTACTCGAACCGATCCTGACATCGCCTCCATCGCATACCCTGCATCGATCATCCCAAGCATCCTGTACACTTACCCCACGAGCGCTATCCCGTGCAAGCGCAAGCCATCGCGCGCTTCCTCAGCCCAGAAGGCGGTCGGAGCCAAGAGTCGGTTGATTTTGTAGCGCTGCTTCGAGAACGCGCCTTCGTCATCGAGGGCTCGATCAGGTGGTTGGGAGCGCGGTCTTGGGTGTTCTCTCGCTCGGGGCGGGCTCAGTTGCTTGTGCCGCCGATGTGGGAGCCTCAGGTGCTTGCTGATCGAACGGGCACTCGGCTTGGTCTTGCGTCAGCGAAGCTGATCATGGTGGCTCGCTGGCCTGATCTACGTGCGCTGCTTGTCTGGTTTGCGAGACACCTCGCTGGGGTGCAGGCGTCGCAGGCGCCAATGACGGGCGAGTCTGCGTGGCGATGCGGTCGATTCTGGAGTTTCGGGGGCGGATCGATGCAGGCAGGGCGGATGGGGACAGAGGATGGCGTCGGAAACAGCTTCAACGATGCGCAGGTGGGGCGAGAAGCGAGGCGAGACTGGGAGATGGTGGTAGAGAGGAGGAGCTGGCCACGGGATGAAGGGCTTTTGGGGGCGAATCCACCCGCTCGCCACCTGCCCCGAAATGAAGCTGGCGGCCTGTGCGTCCCGCCCCATTTTCCAGTGCCCTACGCTGGATTGCCCCGGGGCAGGCACCTCACATACGGCGTCCACAGGAGGAGTGCTGGGCAGCTCTCTGCTCCCGTCTCGCCGTCAGAGCCGCTGCCCCGCTCTGGGCATGTCTCGGAGCTCCCGTTCGCTGCTTGGCGCCGTAGAACCGGACCGGCTCCCAGAGTCCCAGCATGATGACGAGCACCCGCTTTAGCTCGCTCCAGCTTCCTGCTCCCCCAGAAAGGAGCAACAGACGCGACAAAGTGGGCCAGCAGGAGTTCGATTCGAGACGTGATGACCGGCATCGCTTGCTAGAGCGGGAGCCGTGGACTGGTTCGGGGCGCGGCTGACAAGTGCCATTGGAGAGGTGCAGACCAAGTCATAAGTGGGTCTCGGAGCTTCCGGAGTCGCCGAGAAAGGAGAAGTCGCTCTATCGTCACGACTGGCAAGGCCAGAAGCCGGCCGGATGCGGACCGCGACGCCCAGCTCGCTGTCTGCCGTTATCGCTCGTCCTCCCCTGGATGCTCGTTGCGCGGGACGAATGGTGTCGGATGCCTTGCGTCTCGCCCCGGAGCGAAAAGTTGCCGTCGCTTGATCGGCTCGAGGCTTGGCTACTGGTCGACTTCCTTGTCCTCCTCGTCGTCATCCTGGATACGGGCCTTGGCCTCCAACGCCTTGCTGACGTGCTCTTCGTAATCGTCGTAGCTGCCGTCGTCGCTGTCGGTGTCGTCGTCGCGCGCATCGATGCTCTCGCCACTGCAGTCCGACTCGGCCTCGGAGCCCTCCTCTTCCATGGCGATGAGTCGGCTCTCCACGCACGTTACTCCGCTGATGCGATACCAGTTGGCGGGTCCCACCAGCTTTTCCCACCAGACCTTCTGCTGCACGGGACCAACGATCGGGGCCCACCTATCGATGAGCTCGAAAGTGTCACGCTGACGGCGGGTGACATGGCCTTTGGGGTACGAGATGATCTCGGTAGGCACCCTGTAGTGGATGCCGTGGATGACCTCGGCCTTGGCCTTGGTGCTTTCGTGGTCAAAGGCGATCAGCGTCAGGCCATCGATGTGGATATCCTGCAGCTTGGCTTTGAACCAGCCGTTTCCGATGGCTTCCGGGTGCAGGTCGATGGTCAGGTTCGTGCCCATGGAGTTGACGAGGACAAGCTTGACCCTGGTCGACTCGCGAGTCTCGTGGTAGTCGAGGTCGACGAGCGTGCCGGCAAGACGGTACGTGACCCTCGGGAACGCCTCGAGATCCTTGGGCAGGTTGTCGAAGGCGGTAAACTTGTGCCAGTGGTGGCCACCCAACTCTGCAAAGCGCATGTTGACGCCGCTGCAGATAAAGGGTGCAGTTTTGCCGATGCATCAGCTGTATGCCGATGATGCGACCGCTCGACGTTCGTGGAAGGGATATGTGGTATGCCGCCAGCACCTACCTCATGGTCACTTGACGGAGACGGATGCAACGGGAGAGTGATCAAGAGGCTCTTTCTCTTCAAGATTGCTCGCAGGGCTGTGCGAAGCGATCACGCTGCGAAGAGGCGTCCGTCCTGCGAGCTTGATCGGCGGTAGTCGGTGTAGCAGAGACGTGATGATGGCTAGAGGACAAAATTGAGGCCGAAGAATGGGCTGCCTTTGAGGATGAGCGAGAACGCGGATTGAGGGGTCGAGACGATGTGGTGGAAGAGTAGAAGGAGGCGATGTCCGTGCCAGCGGGCAGAATTTCAAGCACGCATGCGCCCCGTAGCCTCAGGGGGACGTGTAGCCAAGGCCGCCAGCTCGGAAGCAGCTGGGGCGCCTGCGCCTGGCACATGCTGGCTGCTGGCTGCGGGCAGCGTCGGTCACGCTGCATATATGCCCCCTCAGGCCCCCACTCGCTGGCTCGGCCATCACATGGAGGCAGACCGCACCCCCAGGGCCACCATGATTAGGGCACGATTGCGTCTGATCCTCTTCGTCCGTGCTGATCTTTCTTCGATCTTGAGACGAACGAAACTCCATCATGTCGCCTTTCGAGACCGCTTCTGCATCAGAGGCTCGCCAGGCGTCTTGCTCGTGCCTTCGCCCGCAACTCTCTTTGCGCCGGACTCTTTGGCGGACCTGTGAAGCAAACTCGATGGAAGGCCAATCGGGCCCATGCCTTTACGACGGGGCGGCCACTGGACCCGCTCGAATAGCTGCGCCTCCGTCTGTTCACGGTCGGACTGCCTGTGAGTCTGGAGTTTCAGATCACGTTTCTTCGCCAGGCGGCGCTGCATCGGTGGTGCCCCCTTTGACGCTCCCGCGACTGCACCGAGAGGTGGTTTCCAGTTCATGAAGTGATCACACAGGGGTTTCTTGAGGAATCCGGGCCAGTCGAGTTTGGACACGTCGAAGGCTACATCAACCTGCCTCTGCCAGCCGTCGTGCAGCCACGAGGAGCTATCGATCCTGCGGAACGAAAGCTGATGATCGGCAGAGAGATCGGCCTCCGAAACCAAGACAAGCTTGCAGTTGGACTTGATGAGGGCGCCGAAGACGATGCGGACCTTGTCGGGGCCGTCTTGATCGCCGTTGTGGCTCTTGAAGACGGCCAGATCGCCGATTTTGACGTCGAGGAACGGAGTCCTGAGCGCGACGCTATCACTTGGTGTCGGGACAAGATCGATGTCGATGGTCTGTCCGACGTAGTTGCGCAGTGTCAGGTGGAGAACCACGCCCTCTCGACTCTGGTAGAGTATCGCCTTGTCGAACACGCCCGCGAGGCAGCAGTACGGCACCGTTCCGCCGAGTCTCTTGGAAAGGTTGTCGAACGCGACGAAGTGGCTGTAGGCCACACCTCCAAGGCTGCCTTTGGCCTTCGACGACCTGTGATGTCGTTTCAAAGCGTGAGCGGGTGCGGATCAACGCTTCTGCGGGCCTTGATTCTCGAAGAGCGTGGGCTGGTCACGACTCACTTTTTCATGCGGATGACGGGCGCGGAAGCGGGCATCGTCTGAGACTGAAGGTAGCGTGCGGATCTCAGAGTGTGTCGAGCTCGGCGAGGATTGGAGGGGTGGACCGATGCGAGGAGGTCAGTTGTGGTGGATGGGAGCAAGGAAGCACGTCGGTGGGCCGACCTTGCCTCTTTATACCTCAGACGCCACGCTGACTCGACCTCAGTGCGTGCTCGGCCCTTTGCTCACCCCGTAAGCTCGGTGGCCGCCCCCGCATCCTCTACCCTTCGACCTGAGCGGAAGTGAATCGGAGCGGAGGTCGAGCCGCTCAAAGGACGTCGGCGTCGTTACGAGTGCGTCAGTCGCTACGTTCCGCTCCCGTCCGATCAGCCATCGACCTCTCCTCCTATCCAACGGACCGGCTCGGGATGAAGCGGAACATCGTTTCAATCTCACGCGGTGCGACACCGGGATTTTGGCCGTTCATGAAGCGGCGCGGACAGGTCGATCGAGAGGCTTCTTGGTCATCAGCTCGAAAACCTGTCGACGCTGTAGCAAGGGGAAAGAGGGCGCGCGGCGAGGAGATAGTGCGACTGGTCGATGCCTTGCGCCTGAACGAAACTCTGTGCTGACACGTAGCGACATTGCCGATGGAGTGGTGCGGCAGATCTTGGGGAAGGCCTGGGCTTCTCTATCGTCGGGCCCCTAGAGTGGAGCATCGAGGTTGCCCAACGCTCGTTCGGACGGATTACAGAGCACGCCGGATGAGCTTGAGGAGCTGCTCGATATTGCCGTTTGTCCCCACCGGCTTGGTCGTGCCTGTAGGAGCATCAGCTTGCTCATCCGTCCCGGTGGCTTACGAAGAAGGGCGACCTACGAGGTCAGGCTCGATCAGCGGCCAATTGGTGCGGCTGAAGGGTAGCAGCTTCTTGTAGTCGTCGAAGGTCAGGTGCTGGACATCTTCGAAGCTGCGCCTCTGAGAATCGACGAATTCGCCGGCACAGCTATCGATCTTTTCGAATGCCCGAAGGTGCTCAGGGGTGACGTGATCTTTGTCGAGCACCTCAAAGCTGAGGACGTATCGATGGAACACGCTGTAGGGATGGTGTGCCTCAGTTCGACCCCCTTGAAGAATCATGACCACGAAGTCTCCGATCCTCATCTGGGTGAGCTCAGCCTGCAGGCATGAGTCCAGCGTGCCCATGTCGAGGTTAAACTTGAAGGGTATGCCATAAGAGTTGGCGAGGACCACGCTGCATCGTGACCCTTTCTTGCTGATATGGAAACCGACCTTCTCTAGAATTCCGACAATGGGATAAGGCCACGGGAGGTCGTCGGGGTCGTATGGGTCGTCGGAAAGGTTTGCGAAAGCGATGAAGTTGTGCCAGTGGATATCCGCAAAGTGAGCGGTCTCGCAGTACATCGTGCTGCGTGCGCCTGAGCCACAAGCAAGAAACAGCGTGTCCGGTGGTGAGCGCCCGGATCAACAGCTTTTCGTGCGTTGATGGTCATCGCAACTCACTCTCAAGGCAACGAACTGTTGAGCTAGGTCAGGTGTGTCCGATCGTCAAGAGGATTTGGGCAACCCAGGAGATAGCCTCGAATGAATGGGGGAGGGGGAGGGTGAAGCAAGACGTCTTCAACGGGAAAGAAATCGGGAGGGGGGAGGAAGAGGTGGGGACAGATGGAGGACGGAAGGAAGGGAGGAGCCGCCTAGACTTGATGGTTTTTGCTGCAATGAGCTCAAGACGGCCGCGCTGGTGGGCTTCATTTGGAGATGAGGGCCACAGTGGCTCTGCCCCGGGAAACTAGCGTCCGACTGGCGGGCGGGGCGTAATAACACCCGCGCCCCGGTCCAGGCTCTGCACTCCCGAGCGGCCATCTTGTCAGGCCCGGACAACGCCGTGCCAACCCCCC